ATGTTCAAAGTCGCTCGTATGCAATGTCATCATCATTCACTCAAGGGCTTGCGTACGAGCAGGGAACAAGGCATCAGTGGAGACGCTATTTATACTAATATTATTAGGAGTTTATAATAATTGTGAAATATGAGTTTGTGAGTTTATATGTACCTAGGAGAACTAGAATTAATTTTGCCTTTATATTTTATTATACGTACTTTATTTACGGCAATTATTTATTTTTAACTTACATCAAAAGACAATTCAATGCTATCTTCATTTTGTTTAATTGTTTGCTGATTGTTGTCGTGATCTAAGTTTACGTGAGTGTTGTCTTGATCTGAACTATCGTAACTTCTAAGTTGTTTTTTATTCAGCTGTAATAGAAATCATAGATCATACATTTATCTGCAAGACGTAAAATAAGCAATTTTTGAATAATGCACGCATTTTAAGAATACAAAATCGAAAGTTATAATAAAATAATACATTGTAAGCATTAAAAAGGAATAAGTTCTTACATGTAAAATGGGTTTTGCATTTTTGTTAAGCCTACTGAAACCTTTCGTTGTTGTATAAATGTCTGAAGCAGGAAAGTGATTAGAGCATACAACCGACCCTTTATATGGCTTGTAGTTTAATTCATTTCGGGCTTTTGCTATAATAACTGTCCATTCAGAGCATCTTATGGGGTTTCGAGGAAAACTAAAAACAAAAAAAAAACATATTGTAATTATACTTTAAAATAATAAAACTCTTTCGACCTACATTTTGTACGGAAAACTAAAAAATAAAACATTTAACAACATTGTAATATTAGTACATTAAGTTTAAAATCTGTAAAAATATTTATTGTATCAATCCACTCCATAGAACCGTTAGAACATAATTTGCGAGTCACTCTCGTACGCGTGACTATTTGTTTCTCTTTTACTCTTGCATATTTGTCTAACGTGTGAAAGAGAAACGTTATCGCGGCGCCGCGCGGTCGGCGGTGAGTGTTTTAGTTTGCTAATAAAATGAAAATTATTGAAATTTAAATGAAAACATGCACTGTGGATACATAAATACGTAAATTTGGTATGATACTTACCTAAAATATGAAACACCATCCTTTTTTTCGCACGTGTCTGCTGTTATTTGGGCAGGAAATCACCGAACACTTTGGCATCGCGGACGTTGTACGAGGATTGTGGTCGCCTTACAACTAAACAAAAACTCTGCGCACTTCGCAGCGTGCGCCGAGTTTTGGCGCGGACATTTTATTTGTCTGTTTGTGAGTCTATAGGTATTGTAACTCAATGCTTCAATGTTATTAAGTTATAGAAACCAGAGTATTTGCGCGCAAATATAAAGTTTGCTGAGCAAAATTCTGGAAAACAATTGAGGTACACAATGTCAGCCTCCTTTACAAAGGCCACAAAATAGCCGTATTTGCTGGAAGTTTCCGATATATGTCAACGAAGTTTTGGAATCACATCCCACCACCAATAAGAAATCTTAGCACCAATTTAATGGGTGCGTTTGGCAGAAAAAAGCGCTAGCAAGCGCTTGTAAGCAAAATGGCGATCGTAAGCGGTAAGCGCTGTCAAATCGTAAGTAGCTATTTTCCTCCAGGACACGATGTTAGTTTTAACCGAGGAACCTAACCTAATTTAAATATATGTTTGTAAGGTATTCATATTAAATACTTATCAATCATGAATTTTTAATAACATGTATATGTTTATTCATGTCATTATATTACTTAAAACTAATATTTCACAAAACAACTTATAAACTATACTTCAAAACAAACAAATTAAATAAGCAAAATGGCGGATTGTGTCAGCGCTACTGAAGTAGCAATCGTGTCCTGGCCGAAAACTATTTCAGCGCTTATAAGCGCTTGCTAGCGCTTTTTTCTGCCAAACGCACCCAATTTTAAAAATAAATTCAATAATCCATACATATCTTTTAGATAAACAAAAACAAGGTATTCGCAGACAATTTATTTGAAAGCTATAAACCATGGCACTTTCTTTTAACTAAGTCTTCATGGCCGTCTAAGCCTTTTAGGTACTAGCTCTAACTTGCTTGCAATCTTACACACTTATACACCCTTTCAGTAACTTTAATAAATAGAATCCGGATATAGAGCACAAACACGCAATTGCTTGGACCTTCTGCTGACAACAGAGCCAGGGCAGGCACACAATATCGGTCTCAGCTCCGCTGGGATCATCCGACCACTTTTTTGCATCATTCATTCAACATTCATCATCTTTTTTACATCATGAGCCTTCCTGCTATGCTGATGCAGTGTCGGATGTGATATTCCATTAAGATCTCCGACATCCCGCATGGTCATAAGGCTTGGCCCTGGTATAAGGCGGATTGTGCTCGTGCTGATGCCTGCAAAGAATCCGCCTACCAAACCCGCGTTTTTGCTCACAATCGCAAACTATCTTTGCTCTTTAGGAAACGTGCGATAAATAAATAAGGAAACAAAATGGCCGAAGTTACACTAGCTTACACTAAATAGAAACAAATCCATTTTAAAGACATAATATCAAACAGACACGTACCTACTAATCAAAATCAAGTCATAATCATCATCGTTAGTCATTTCTTGATATAGCTCACGGTCAAAAATTTGACCTTAAAAGCCCCGAGTTAGGCTACATGCGTTAAAGACCTCCTGGTTAGCAGGACAAGCATCACCAAAAAAGGCGGTGAGACACTGTTCATTTATGCATTATAAATGTATTTGTATAATTAAAAAAAAAATATCCGTTCCAAAGTTTATTGTAAAAATTGTGAATTTAACAATGATTTAACTGACTATTAACAAATTAACATACCGGATACAAACTTACAGCTTTGAGTGTAAAATAAAAAAAATACAAAAAAGACGTTTCATTCACAAACATTTTCAATATAAAACATTTTTGGTCCCATTCAAAAGAAGCAATACTAGGAACTAGAAATACTGTAAGAATTTCGTAGGAAGTACAAATTATTTTCTTTGATGATACTTATCACAGTATCTTATTAAATACGATTGTAATATTTAAGTGCAATGTGCAAATAATTAAGTGTAAAATATAAAGTACAATCGATTACGCAATACTTAATCACTCGTTATATACAAAGAGTAAAGACACACGTTCTGTTACTAAATTATATCGTGCTTTAGCTATATTATAAGTAACTTTAGGGTTTTTTTAATTATTTTTTTTTGATAAATTTGATTTCAACTCGCATTTCACCCAAAGTAACTACCATCGTCCGTAAATATATACAGGAAATTCCAAATATAAGAGGCTATTGCATAGTTTTCTCAGAATGTGAACTGCATTATAGCATGAAGTCAAAGGTTCAAGTTTCCTTTCCTTAAATACAAGAATCTTATTCCTTGCATGAGTTAGCTTCCGATCCAGTAATGATAAAAATATTATATAAATCTTGAAAACTCACTTTTTCTCATTGAACCGTCATGAATTTGAAGCTTAATTGGTTAAAAGTTTTACGTGATGTAGGAATTTGGAAATAAGTATTAATATTATATAATTAAAAATTTATAAATGCTCTGGACTATTAAACGAATATCGAGACATTTGTTTTCGATATTGCAAACGGGAATGGCATTTAAAGAAGCACATATTTTTATTCCTTATTACAAGTTACACTAACAATAACTACTATGCATGTTTGATCTACTCCTATAACGATTTTGATGATAGTATCTAAAAATAAAAGACGTAAATAATACATACTTAAATGCTTAACATAAATGTCAATTTTGTTTGTTTATATAAATTTCAAAATCCTTAGTATTAAATTGCAGGAACTCTTATGTTATAGATCGAAATATTGACAAAAACTCTGGCATATACAATAAAAGTTACTGCTACTCTATGTAAAAATAAGTGAACCTTATTTAATTTAAGATCCAATTACTCAATTCATTGGGCGTTCAAAAAGTCAATTGCTTCTTTACTTTTTCTTTACAATTAATTTACAAAGTTAAATCAATTCAAACAAATTTACAATCGCTATGCTTTGTCTTTATTCAAGTTGCAAGGTATTGAGTTTATAGGGCATTAATCCGTTACGAGTTCGGAATAAGTAATTATGTTTAAAATTATGTATTTTAAAATATCTTGACGAGACATTACTTAAGTATGTTAAAAAAATAAAAAAAGTGTAAATTGATACAACTATACATTAAGTGCGTTTAAGTTTAGATACTAATGGAATAAATTAAGTATTCTTAGGATAAATTCTTGATTGTGATCATAACGAACATAATTTATATTTTTAAGCATCCTCATACATATTTGCGTCAGTTGTCAATGATGTACCAAAAGATATAGATATAGGATTTCACCTGCATAATAAATATGCAGTATCTTATAAATTACTTAATTTTCATAATTAAATAAAAACAAGTAAATTAAGAAAATACTGGCAGTAAAGCAACCATAAATATTTACTTTAAGAAGTAAGTAGGTAATGCATTTCCTAATAGATAAAAAGTATTTTCTTAAAGTTTCATCAATCAAAATATCGATTAATCGCTTCTCCTCTCAAAGAAAGGTTCAGAATATTTGATTCGAAAACAAATCGACAATTCGAAATGACAAAAGAGATCTTTACAATGTAAAATTCAAATTTAACTTTGTGTTGTTGATTGGAGACAAGCAGCCTAGCTATTAATATAATTCTTTTATGGTGTTATTTTAGTAAGCCTTACAATTATTTTTAATGTATAATATTTTTGTGAAATGGTAAAATAATTTAGAACTTGAAATTTCTTCTAACGAAACCAAATACATAATTTTTTACTGTTTTATAATTTGTAGGTAAATATTTTGCATGTTATTCTAATATAAAAATGATCGAAATAGTGAAGTTAATTGCTTAAATACATTTTCAAGAACAAGTTAATATAAGTGGAGTTTTGTTTTTGGAAGTTAATATGACGTCACAATTAAATTCATTAAATCACATGACTGTTTACTGAGGTTGTGGAATTAGGAGCTAGCGACAGATCTGGTTTTCATTCTAGAAAGTTCTTCTGCTTCTTCTATTGTGTCAGGTAGCCTCATGTTCCTTGTTTCAGGCAGCATTAACACCAACATGCTTGATATGATACACATCCCACCGAATATCACTGTCGGCATTGATTTGTGGTACACGGACTGAAAAAAAAATCGCAGTTTAAACAAGTTTTAATTTTTTCACCAAAAAGATCCATTTTAAGGTGGGTCGGTAGTGTAAAGACTAAGTACTTGGGCTCGATATCCGCACAGGACAAGTATTGATATGACCTACAAATAATTGTTGTGAATCTGGATTTTCGTTCATATGCAATTTGTATGCTCAAGACTCGATGCAGAACAAACTTCTATTGTGGAGGTTATTTAAATAACCGTTATTTAAATAATAAAAAAATTACTTCTGTGTAGCAGCGAATCTATTTGAAAAGTTGCAAAAACTACAAATAGCCACAAAGTAGATGAGGTACAAAAATGTGACGGTCCGCCAAATTTAACCGATGTAAAAATTGTATAAGTTCAACAGTAGACTGGTTAAAGTTAAACAAAGTAAAGTACAGGCCTTCTCTCATGTCTAGGAGTATCAAATGAAGCATGGAAGAAGCACTGCGCTATCTTGACTGTGCAACTTAAGAGGATATAGTAAGTCAGCTCAAATTCTAATTTCGCCCCCACTTCCCCGCGCGTCGTATGCTATGTACCGACATGTTTGTAATCAGTAATACTGTAAGTAGATAGGTCGTTAGATACTTATTTCATTAGGTTTATCATATTTATGCCTGTTCCTAACGCCAACCTAGTCACTTCTTATTTTTATTACGGTTATTTCCCGTTTTAATTTTACGTCGTCCTGTTGCGTAATATGTATTCTGATCGTAAGCGACAAACCTCCCCCTTCAAAGGCCGAAGCGAAACTGACCGGACGGCAGGGATCAAGCTTCAAGAAGCCGATAGTTTAGGTAATTTCTTTTTACAGTGAAAATAATGGTATTTATAAAAAAGTAAATAACATAAGCAGTGCTTTATAGTTAGTTCAGTTAGTATGCAAAGTTTGATGATCTTATTTAAAGTATTTTATGAATAACAGCGGTTTATTGTTTATTTTGGAGGTAACTTTGGATTTTTTTTTTCTATCGAGAAAATTTTACGGAATAGTGTTTTCGTCTAACATAGTCCTTAACATTAATCCTCAACTTCACCATATATTTATTTCAAAATTAATGCTGCAATATTTTCGGCATAACGGAGGATCTTGCTAAGCCATTTGAGGTTATTTCCCCTTAACGCTAGATGGTAAGCGTCTACTGCAACTCTAAGACATTAGCAACCAACATCGGGTAAAGAAAGCCACAAATGTGTTGCGACTTTTGTATTAAAAACAATTTACAAGTGATCCTATTCTATCAGTAATTCCAAAGTAGGGTTGTCAATTTTTTGTAGGCTGCGAAAAGAATTGCGCGCAAAAGTGTAGGTGACACTGTACGAAATTCGGACATCATTCGATTCTTTAAATAATATATCTAGGTAACAACTCAGTTTTATTTTAATTTTTATAAAACAGAAAATAATATATAATATAAATATTACTTATTAAAAGTCACTCTTTTGTTTAATATACAGCTAAACCTCTGTCCTGGGAAGAAACAGCAAGAAACCCACCGGGAAATTATAAAAAAAGAGTTTACATTCATATTATAATACTTGTTACATTATAATTTCTTATATTTACGCGAACACTACACATTGAAATAATACTAGTTTTTACGGAATTTATCGCGCTTATTTAACTTTTTAAATATCCGAGGTTTCGAACGCTTTACAGCACTCATGGTCACAGGCGGGACTGAGATGTTCAACGTCCATATGTCATAGTTAACCGCGGTTACCATAGATTAAAATTTAACTTTTGTTCCGATCTATGCAGTATGAACTTATTGTATCTTGAAGTCTTGCAGTTGTATGCTTGGGTTGGGATTTAATTTTATTTATTATAGGATCCCAAGCAGATGGTACCATCTGGGAAAATAAATAAACCCAGCCATCTTCTCTATTGAAATTAGGATGTTTTTTGATTTCAATAGCCTCACGAATCATGCTTGGAAGGAATCGGTGTTCTTTAGCGAGGATTTGCGGTCTATCAAATCTGATGTAGCGACGGGGGCGATCCTGTACGTGTTCACAGACTGCAGACGCTCCGGGAAGTCTGCAGTCAGTGAACACGTACAGGATCGCCCATCAATCATACTGCATAAACAAAAGTTAAATTTTAATCTATGGTAACCGCGGTTAACTATGACATATGGACGTTGAACATCTCAGTCCCGCCCGTGACCATGAGTGCTGTAAAGCGTTCGAAACGTCGGGTATTTAAAAAGTTAAATATACGCGATAAATTCCGTAAATACTAGTATTATTTCAACTTGTTACATTTTTAAAAACACAAAACAAATAAGAAATAGCTTGGTAGCGATCACCTCGTTCCCAGGGGTTATTATAATCCTTAAACTCCTTAAAATTACAATAACCCTTTTTATACAAACTTTGCTTAATAAAGTTTTTCAATTTTGAGGTCATATTTTGTATACTGGATGGCCTTTTTTACTGCGATTAAACGTATAAAAAAAATTTGAACAATTACTTTGCCCTTGAGCCTGTGTACTGTGTGTGTTTTTATTTTTTGTAAAATATCAGTGCCATTTACTTCTACTCGGTTCACATGTTATACCCTATTTTTTCAGACGGTGAAAAGGTCATTCAGTATTTTCTGAGTTTTTGTTGTAAAAGCGTTTCTTTTATATAATAAGGGTGACAAACGAGCACACAGTCCGCCTGATGTTAAGTCGACGCTGTGGCCCATAGACATCTACATTTATTCTCGATCAAGAATCAAACTGCAGATGCGTTGTCAGTTGTCACCCCTCAGGACTAGAAGATAAAATACCTTGTTTCCAGTAAAACAGGGTCTACGGATCTACGCTCACCATACGAAACACAGCAGTATTAAGCTGCTGTTTTACGCTGGTATTCTGTGATAGCGTGGTCCTACCTCGGTTGAGCCAACCCATTCGTGCTATGACCATAATATAGCTGCAGCGTGGCGACCACTTATAATATTATATTGCCCCAAAAATGAGTTGCTGGCTCGGTGGAGTCGATTAACTGTTACTACTAGCTTGTATGTTCCTTGTAATTACAGATTTTTTTAAAAGCACCATTATTTTTGTGTACATACATTACATTTTCGTAAATGTATTGAAAGGCCAAAGTTGATATATTAATTTTCTAATTTTTTCCTTCCTAAGCGACTCTTTAAAGACGCGAAGAGAGCGACGTTTTAAATTATAAATTGCTCTTATCTGTAGTAGAAGTATAGAATTATTAGAAAAATTAATCAAATCTTGTATTCCTGCGAGTAAGCACCGGATTGGACGTCGTCAGCATATCGCACGTTGTACGTAGCCTTAGTGCTCAGTATAAAGTAACAACTAGGCGAACGGCTTAGATAAATTGTTGTGTGTATTTTCTGATAGGAACAAGGAGTAGGTAATTAGTAAGTTATTGAAAGCGTACACATTTTCGTTTACAACGGAGTGATGTCTGGCAGATAGCAAAAAGATATAATAGAATTTCAAAGTAATATTTCTAAAATATCTGTGTGGCCTTAATAGAGGCTTTATTAACAGTCTCACGCCAAAGTCACATATTTTTTAACTTACCAGTGGGCAGTTTTTGTAATGGGTCCGATTTTGCAAATTGGAAATTTTAACGTATCTCCACGTTTCAAGGTCTTTAGACTAGAATAGTATGGTTTTTAAGAGGATGTCCGTGTGTGCACATGTACGTATGTATGTATATATGAATGTTCGGATTAAATTTTTGGCTCGTGTATCTCGAGAACAAAGAGTGATATTGGCATGGGACCAGTTTCATTTAACGCATAATTATGTATCTTAGACCTCATTAAATTTTGAGCAAATCGGTTAAATCGTTTTTTGTGCCGAATGATAAATTGTATAAAATATTAAAAAAACATATAATATATTTTTAATTATTTCCACTGGGAAGTTAGTCGTGTGGACCTTTCGGGTCGCACCTAGCCACAGATTTATTATTTTTAATGTGGCTGCAAAAGCATCAAAGGTTAAGGCTTATCTTTTTTAATATTCTCTGCGATATGAAATGTAAGCGAACATCCTGACCTCTACTTTTAAAAAGCATCTTCTAAAATACGCTACATAAAACGATCGTTAACAGGATTATTATAAAAATGATAAATTGCATACAATAGAGAAGTTGCATTTTTTTTAATTTTTATGTAAGTTTACTAAATTATTAATTAAAATATAAAAAAATTAGGAATTTATTTTTCATGTATTTTTACATTGATAAATGTTTTTAATTTAAAAAACCGACACACAATTTTGTCAAAATTGAAAAAAAAAATTGTCATTGCATAATGTAAGTTACGTATTAGCTATGTTTTGTTATGATTTATGATTGATAAGTGATTTATGATGATCCGAATATAGAAAATACAAAAGTATAGCATGATTGCAATTGGCTCACAGCATCAACAAATATAGTGACGTCACAAGTCATAACCAATCACATGTCGTATTTTTCATTCAAAAATTTAACTATTTTTTATTAATAATTACTAAAAAACTGGAATTTTTAATTAAAAAAATATTTAAATCTACTTTAAATATTTTTTATTAGTGCCTCTATTAACAGTCTCACGCAAGTCATATTTTTTTTAAATTGTATTGAAGTAGGATACTCTCGTAGACAGAGAAACCTATAGACTAATGATTAGCGTGGCCTCGAGTGGGAAAGGACGATTAACGTAGTTTTAGGTTATACAATAATCTTTATGACTTTTAAACATATTTATATAAAAAAATTTATTATTCTAAGAACTGAACTGAACAAGATTCACCAACCTTAAGCTCACAAAATACTTTTTTTTCGCACTTAAACCAACTTGTAAACTCCATAGATCGCTACGAACTGTCAAAGTTATTTAGCAATGTGTAGTTTGCTAAACAAAAAAACCGGCACGTAGAAAATCAATCAATGACAAACAATCACACCGCTCTGTCTCATTTCTATGCAAGTTGTATGCATAAATCTATCTCTTTCGTGTGCGAATGCGAAGGAAGGCGTCAATTTGTCTATAGGTTTCTCTGTCTACGGATACTCTATTATTAGTGTGGTTATTAACCCTATACCGTAGTCATTTACTCAGTGTGGAACTATTTTCTTTCATTTATAAGTATATCAATTTGTGGAAAAAAATTAATGCATCTTTTTATTAAATATAATTCTACTTGCCAATAAGGGTGTCAATGGTGCAATAAGAGATCCTATTCTTCCGGCAGTCGAACAAAAACTAATTAGTGTCTGTCTCATGTTGGTGGGGAAGACTTCCGACACGTAGATGTAGACGGAGCTGTAGGCGAGCGTGACGCTCCACTTGCCGATCAGGTACAGAGCGATCGACCACCAGTCAGCTGTGCACCAAAGGAATCTGTTTTAAAACAATGTCGTACGGTTGCACTTAGTGCCAGAGTTCATTAACTCTGCTTAAATAAAGTTAAATCTAATAAAAATATTAATGAATCTTGTCCCCGTCAGCCACTAAGGCATTGTAATAATTATCATGATGTGCTGTTGCAGTATATAATGAATACATACATATACAAATTGCAAAATGATATTGTAAGATTTTTTTCGATAGCAACATCTGATATTTTGACATAAGAAACGGAAAAGAGTAGGAAAATAGTGAAATACATATATATGTGTGTATAAATGTGTATAATTTCCAAAATGACACACATACAGACACGGGACCATTATTTGTAGACCATACAAATACTTGTTCCGTGTGGGATTCGAAACCGCGACGCGATCTCTTAGCCATCGCGCTATGTCGGCGCATCGGCGTCAAATAGCCATCATTATTATAGCACTATCCATCGCAGGAATCTCAGGACCTTGCTTTGTGGTATATCTTAAGTAGTTGACTGGTGAATAGTTATAACGATGATGATGATGATGATAATAAGCCATCGAAGAGGGACCTTTAAAATTATTTCGTCTGATAATGATTTTTATATGTTTAAGCGAAATTTTATTAAATGAATAGTTTATCATTTAATAAAATTACCATGCGGATGTTATAGCGTTTAGTTTAATAAAAATAAGTTCAAATTTAATGTGACAGAAGCCGTAAAAATGTATTAATTTCGTCAGAGTTTATCCAAATGGTTTACACGTGCATTTATCGTCATAAGTCATACTAGTTCAAGGTCTAGCTACTGCAATTTGCATTTCAAACAAACAATATCTAAAATGTATACGTCGACTTTGATTAATAACGTCTTAGGTAAACCTTACGAATCAAATAACATGAGTTAATAACATACTATTAATGCACAAATAATCGTTGAATTACGTTATTATATGAAGTGAGGTGGAGCAGAAACGAGGAACAGATTGGAGAACGAAGTTCAAGGTATTTTTCACGCTGTTCTTCATTGGTTTGTAGTGGATATTTTTTGGAATACTTATGTATTTTGTTTATAGGATAGAGCGACAAACGAGCACACAGTCCACCTGATAGCAACTGGTTGCTGCGGCCCATAGACATCTACATCTATCCACGATTACAAATCAAAATGCAGATGCGTTATCACCCCTGAGGACTAAGATGGAATGCTTCGTTTCCAATAAAAAATGGTCTCCAGATCTCTACACTCACCATACGAAACACAGCAGTATTAAGCTGCTATTTTACGCTGGAATTATGTGAGAGCGTAGTCCTACCTCAGTCGAGCCGACCGTATGGTGAATGTATAGAATTGGAGTCCCTTTTTACTGGTAACGAGGCCTTCCATCCAAACCCCTTGGCAACATATTTGAATTTCACTTTTTAATCGAATATAGATGTAAACGTCTATGGGCCACAGCATCCACTTACCTTCAGGTGGACCGTGTGCTCGTTTGTCACCCTTTGAAGCCCTTATGTTAAGGTGTAGGCAAAAAAAGTGTGAATCAATAAATAATTATTAAATAAATCACCATATATAACAAATAAAATCCAAGAGAAGTAACAGAAGGATAAAATCTTGGTCTCATACAAGTGTTTACTTCTAGTCACCAACTGATACTTGCGTAAAGTAGAGCATTATCAACGAAAATAATTAAAGAATCATTACAATCGCACTTACGAAACCGTAGTTAATATAACTAAGCCGTAGTTACACGTGCTCGACCTCCTTAATAATTGCTTAAACCGTGTCAGTGTGTAACGGGATTAACTTTAAATTGTCAGGTTTACGAATTCAGTTCGCATTGTCATTGATATAGCAAACATAAAGATATTTTAAACTTAAACATTTTAAAATTTACTTGCATATGTTGTTTAATATAAATTAATGTTTCATAAGCAAATTTCAGTTTATTTATAGCTTCGAATAAAATAATAAAGTGCATAATAAGATTGTTAACGTATGTTTATAAACGAAGCAAATATAATAATCAAACAAATTAAGCAAATATATACCAGTTGGCACGTCACCTCTTGTTGCTGCCCTTTCCAGTAGCTAATGCGATGAGTTTATCGCCGAATGATACAAGGCTATTAATAACTTGACCATAGCGCGACCTATCGGATGCAGATTTAGTGTTTTAGGGGACTAAACCAATTAATATATGGCGCTTGAGTCATTTATTTATAAATAGAGAATTTGTTTTACAACGTCGCTTATAGCATAGGTATGAACCATCATCTTGAGTCTTGACCACGTCTTGACAAATGAAACATTGTGTGAAATGTGAACATGAACTTAATCGGTCAAATCGTTCAGGAATTACACGATCACTAACATACGCCCAAACAATAATATATGATACTTTTTTTTTCAATATATAGAACCGGCAGACAAAGAAAATTTATGTTGCAGAAGTGAATAGCAGAGTCGGAAAGGGACGCCCTAGGCGAAAATTTATCGACCAAATTAGCGATTTATTAAAAACGGGCCAAATTAGGAGTACCCTTAACCCATGTATGCGTATATGGATGTGAAGGAGGCGAGAGAGGTGTGTCAGGATCGTGCCAAATGGAAGTCTGTAGTCTCTGCCTACCCCTCTGGGTGATAGGCGGGAGTGTTTCTATATATATATATATATATATATATATATATATATACAGAATGGGTCCCACATATATGCAATAAATGAAACCATATACTTGTTATCGCCTGCCGATATACAAAAAATGAACGTAATCGGTCCAGTAATTAGGTCAAAATGTAGAGTTTTAATTTTAAGCAAATTTGAACACTCTATACAATTGGGTCACTAAGTCAATGATTCAATGAACTTGAATCCTTGAAAATTAAAAAGCGACGTTGCCACGCAGTGCAAACTATTGGTATTGCGACATATCGACAGCGGTGTCTTTTGTCGGCGTGCCACCCGCGTGCAACGTTGTCACTCTTCCAAGGGGTCAAGGTACGTTGTCTAAACAGAGTGTTCACTTTTACTGAATTTATTTTAATATTTATTTTGTTTGAAAATTTCACTTTTTTATTTTACGGGTTTTAATTTAATATTTAATTTTTCTACACTTCTACGGACTAGTATTACTTGTGATTTCATTTATTGCATATATGTGGGACCCATTCTGTATATATATATTTAGAACTGGCAACTCATATTTCATTCAAGAGAACGTAAAACCTAAAAAAAACAAAGATATACTCACATCGCGGCAAAAATGCGAACAGCAAACTCGTAACAGCACAAGTAACATAGTTCACTATCAATGTCTTTTTCCTTCCATACTTGTCCAAAACAATCACAACAACTACATAAGCCGGGATCTCTACCAACACCACCAGCATAAAGCTCACATATTTATTACCACTTAGAGATACAGAGTTTATTGACAGCCCATAATACACCAACGAGCAGGTCATCCATAAAAATGAGCATATCACAAGTCTCTTCCAAATTATACTCGAACGGATTGCTTTCGAAAATTGTGATTTTTTATCACCAGTTTGATTCTCCGGCTTGAGAAGCGGGTCTGCTAACGCGTCCAATTCAAGTTTACGCGGATCGAGGTTATTCATTTTAGCGGCACTTTTTAATATTTTGACAGCGTCTTCCCGCCTTCCTTTACTGAGTAGCCATCTTGCGCTTTCGTTCATAAACCACACGTAAATGCAGACTAATATTGCAGGGCTGTAGAGTATAAAGATATATGTGCGCCAGTTGTCAACGAACCAGGCAAGTAGCGCGATTAGAACTACGCCAACCACGAATGTCATGTTGCACATTGCGGACACTATCACACGTTGCTTTAGACCCACTAATTCCACAACTGAAAGAAATAAAAAGAATATGAAAATATGCTTGTGTGTTTAAATGTATTTTTAATTATTTATATTATTTATTCATTCATTACATTGTGTGTCATATCAAAGTGACAATCAAATTTAGTATATCACTATTTAAATTGCTTTACTATAAAGAAACAATCCTTCTTTTTTATTTCCAATTAGTATATTTAAAAATGAAGTCCCAATTATATTATTACTTGACGGCTATGTTAGTCAAGGTAAAAACTAATAAAATATAGACCAATGTGGATAAGTTTAGATTTGTAATATCCAATTAAATTTAACCGAGATAGAACAATATATAAACGAATAAAATGGTTTCATAACTAACCTAGTACATAGGCAGAAGGGTACAACCCTCCTCCAAGTCCAGCCTCTAGGAAATGCATTGCCAAGTATGTCAAGTAATCTTGAGTAAATGCTCTGGCGATACCGAATACCAAACTTGCGCCGGACGCTATACCCACAGCTACTTTCCGACCAAAGCGATCGGAGATGGCGCCCATTACCAACATGGCGGCGAACATGCCGGAGTTGTGGACAGTGCCCACAAGCGCCCTTTTCCATTCTTTGCAGCCTAGATCAAACTGAAAAAAAAATAGTAAGGTGGGTGGACCATGGAAGGCCATGCTGCTTCGAAGGCCAATTATTAAAATGTCATAGTTATTGCCATGTGATGACAAATTCCTTCTATTTACACAAACGCCCATCGAACTGAAAATCACAGACGGGGCGGCGAATCGCTCGCGCTACTATTTTGGCAGTACGGTCCCTCGCTTTATTGATTTCGAGAATTGAAGACGTTAAAGTAAGGTGGGTGTACCATGGAAGGCCACTGTAACAAATAAATAGTTATTTTTCGTTTATTTGCTGGGTAAATGAAACTAACAAATATTTAAGTAATACTTTGTTTTATTACGTAACATATAAACCACTTCTTTTTATTGTAGATTTAATCGCTATTTATTCAACTTTTGTGTTAAATGACTGACTTATTATAATGGCCTTCTAAGGAGTCTTGTTCCTAGCAAGGCCATTTGAAAGAGTTCAATGAAACTTAAGTTCAATCAATATCTGCAATTTAAAAAGTGGTTTATATGTTACGTAATAAAACAAAGTATTACTTAAATATTTGTTAGTTTCATTTATCCAGGAAATAAACAAATAATAACTGTTTATTTGTTAGAGTGGCCTTCCATGGTACACCTACCTCATATTGTTTTATGTTATTGATATAAGTTCACCATTGGCGATATATAAACCAAATAAACCTAAACAGCGTAGTATATGAAGAGGAAGATGTCAATCAAAACTCCCCCCTCTATTTAGTAGATGATGAGAAATGTACCAACCGTTTCTTTTACACCCTATCAAAACTCCACTGTTGAACATAGGCCCCCATAAGTCGCCCCATTGCGAAATAATAACCTTATTTGCTGCGTTTGGCAAGCAAATTGGCAAGCATAGATTTTTTAACTATTCTGAAAAGAAGCTTTTACTTATATACCGGTGTTGTTTCCTTTCGTCGCCTTTACACCACCATAAAGACGGTATGGAGTAGATATTTTTACTCCGCCACTACACGGTGAATGTAACTAATCTCTATTAGCAAATTACCGAAATTGATACTTAAAATAAAAAAGGCAGTATATTCATTCGAGAATGCGAAACCGGATCCCATAGACCAGTAATAGAAAGCAGCATTACAATTAATTTACTATTGCAAGAATATCAGGAATGCACTTATTCCATATAATGGGTGTATAGACCAAACCATATCTTACAAAAGTAGCTTGAAAGTTATTATACTTTTAAAGGTTCACATAAAGCATAGAAATATCGATAGATAAGAAAAATAAGATATACTTAAAAATGAATATAAATATAAAACATATATTTCCGAAGATCAAGATGAAATGCCCTAGAGCCCGTAATTCATTGGCTTCCCTATACCCATAATATCGGAACCTAGCAGACGCACTGTTGCTTGGCGGCTTAATACGTGGTTAGAAGGCGATTCTACAAAGACGGATTCTACGAAAGTCAGAACAAGAGTCCTACTAACTTTTAGTACCGTCATATTACTTTGACAACTCTCTTCGTCTGTGCCAAAGTAACAGCGGAAAACACAGTGAGCTAAATAATAAACATTTATTTTACAAAGACGCCGAATTTAAGTTAGAATGAAGACAGTTTCATTTACTACGTGTAAATTACACAGATTTATGCAGCATAAAGATTAATTTACAACCCCTGGGAGTTGAACAACGCATTCACTAACATCGCTTCGGCATTCTTCACGCTTACGACCGAATTAAAGCTACTGGGTGCAGTGACGTCAACATATTGTGCACAATGAGTGCATTCTCTGGAGTAATGTATAACTGTAATGTAAAGAAGAATTATAGATGGAGCCTATAAGCAAAAAAAAAAATACCTCAGCTTATATAAATATTCAGAGAGAATGATAAGGGCTGAATAACTAAATATTAATAATTTAAAATTTATTGACATGACATGTCAATAAATTTTAAAATTGTCATACATTGTATGACAATCTTTGGGTTATAGTGACTGCTTTGGTAGGTTGTATGCTAGTTTATTACTTAACTTTTACTCAAATTAAAAGAGAAGGTTCAATAGATCTAGCGACTTACCTCTTTTACGAAGGAATGACCCTCTTCATATACGAAACTGTCGCAAGGAACAGTTTTGTTAGTGGAGAACTCATCGGGCGAACACTGTAGTACTGTTGTGTTCAGGCTCGCATATCGTCTGCACGTTTCTGGACGCTGCCTCTCGCTGTCCATGGGTATGGCGTAATTGATCCAGGACGTATCATTGAATCTTCCATCACAGCCGTGGACCTTGCATCTAAAAAAAAGTGTATTTATATTTATTGTAACCTCAAATGTAACTCATTCCTTTTTATACAATAAAAGTTTCATCTGAGGAAATGATGAAACAGTTCATTTGATGGTAAGTAGATGCTAAGGCCGATGGACATTTAATACCTATCCTCTATTAAAAACTACGATATTAAAATGCGTTGCCATTGAGGCTAAGTTACAAATGACGTTACCTGTAAAGAGTTTTCGGTTATAATTATGCTACTCTTTTATGCTGCTATCCTTAGAGAGCGTAGAAGAACATAGTTCTTCCAAATAAATCGTACTAAAGCATAATATAGCTGCAGCGCGGTCATGTGCTTATCAAATATCCCGTGGTTGTCGTTAAACCGATAAAATTCCCCACATGCCAGACTATATTTTATGAGGATATGAGGTTATATAATTTACGTAGGGAGAACTATATAAAGAGAGAATGTGCTATAGCCACGTTGCGGCTATATCATGGTTGTAACACAAATGGGTCAGCTCTGCCAAGGAACCATACTTTCTCAAAAAACCAGCTTAATGCTGCTGCAGTAGCGTAAGGTGAGTGTAAAGGACCGGAGATAGAAAGAAGGAGAGAGAGCCTCGTTTCTATTATAAAGGGTTACTGAAATGAATGCCGCATTTTAGTCCTCAGGGGATAACGCATCTGCGTTTTGATTTTTAAACGACAATAGATATAAATGTCTATGGGAAACAGCATCCACTTACTATCGGTGGACTGTTAGTTTGTCATGCTTATTAAAAAAAATATTGTGCAAGATGTGTTCAATTTCAGTTTATTGCTTGCGACCCATCTGGCATTGTATTTACATTCTTAGTTTACGGGGAGGTCTTAATTAATAACAGCAGTTTTAGTTGGATGATAACTATAGTCATCAGTCAGGCGACAGTAGCCTAATGGCAGAGCGCGGATCGCGAACTCAAAAGGTCGTGGGTTCGAATCCACCATTTGACTACAGTCGTGAACCACTCCTAGCACAAGCGTTTCAAGCTTACCGGGAGTGGTCAAAATGAAAAGAATAACCGCTAGATGTTATCGTCCTGTGGGTCTCGTAGGAGAAGTCACACGATAACTGAAACGAAAAGGGCAGCGGCATATTTCAGATAATAATTAATAACTGAAAATAATAAAACTCAAAATAATAAATATATTTGCTAGTCAACCCGTCCGCTTGGCAAATCTATATCAAAATCGCACATTATGATCAATATGAAGCCTATGCAGCAGTTGATTTTTATAGGCTTTGTTCGATAATTATAATATTATAATTGTAATTTTTTAAATTACTCGAAGAGGGGAAGGTCAAGAGTACTCGGATACCTAGAAGTGCATGTATGAAGAAGATAATGAACCTGAAAGAAGCGAAAGAGGTATGTAAGGATCGTGACACTTGGCGATCTGTTCTCTCTGGCTACCCCGTTAGGGATTTTGCGTGAAGATAAGTAAGTAAGTAAGTAAGTATAATTGTAATTTTATACTAAATATATAATTAAATTACATTTAGATGTAGCTGTATTGAAATAGCATTTTCTTATAAATTATAAGAGATAAAAATGTATTATATCGTTTAAAGCAGACTTAATGCCTACCGGAATTCTCTGCTAGTCAAACCGTGATCCCCTTTATATGAAAGTATGGCAGCAGTAACATGTGCCGTGCCTCCACTACATTTGGCCAGCTTCGAATATTCTCGACGTATTTCTTTTATTTCCAGGTCTTGACAAGTTTTCTTCCAACGCCGTAAAAAGTTCTTTTGTTTTACTTGGGATCGAACTTGGAATGTTTGTTGTATTTTACACAATTAAATAAATGTTTTTCGGTTATAAATCGAAGATCTATATCTTTAATTTAGATCTCTAATTTTTCTTTGCCTCCTCGTATTCATCGTATTGAGTCAATGAAACTAGATTTGATTTGATTTTACACCAAAATCTACTTTGTATCACGTATTGCTCGGGAGTCATATCTAATCTGTCGGAAATATTGGATGCACCGCGTCTGTCTGGATAGAGATAAAAAAATTTCTGTAAGCAATGTAACTATCACTGTTATCTTAGTTTATGATACAAAACAATGATAATAATATCCACGTGTATGTATATATTTTGTCTGTCATTCTAAAGGCACGTTTGGCAGTGATAATAATTGCGACGTCATTGTTACTGTTTACTAAGGTTGAATTCTGGACTAGAAATTCAGTTGTAGCGAACCTCCATATGAGAAGGTTTCTATTGCAGGTGTATTGGACCTTCAATAAAACTACTACTCATAACATTTAAATATGCATATATAATGACACATAAAAATTAAAGTTACAACCTATATACGAGCTCCTACCTCGTACGTGCTAGGCACAAACCTCCTCATATTTCGAGAGGGTGCACTTACCCTGCCTCCGGGCAGACAGTGAAGGATTCATCCTTTGCTGTCACCGCCGGTCTCGTAATCCCAGTCGAAGTGTCGTGGATCATGTCTCGCGGCTTTGATAAGGACCGAGGGTCTTGGCTTAATCGCCCGGACCGCGAGGGAGAAAACCTCTATAAAAAGTTACCCCGAATCCCAAGCGGCGACGCACCGCGAGGGGATGGATGGCTGACGGGGTTCTATGAACAAATCAGCCGCAAGTGCGGTCCTCGCCAGGGTACCTGCAGACCCCCCTGGCGAGTAATAAATCCTCTAAATCTGCTTACCTTGGTACAGGGGTCTCTGCCAAGGTGGACCTGTAATTCCCCCCATACTCGTGGGTACAGAAATGGAAACAATAAAAACAAAAACAACAACAACAAAAAACAAAACCAAAACCGCCGGCAACGGCAACGTAGAGGAGAGGAGAAACGATGCGGGGACTGAGTCCGAAGCCGCATCGAGCAGCGTGGGAGGCTCAGAGAGCTCCCGACGCGTGGGGCCTGGGACCGCGGAGACCAGTAAGTTCTTCCGCAAGCGGTCCAGGCTGGATGGCGACCAGGGGCCGTCATCCGGTGAAGAGGAGGTTTCGGCCCGGAAAATCCCAACCAACAGGCGGGGCGGGCTGAGAGGCAAGGGGAGGGGGCTCTCTGATAATAAGATGGCCGAACGAGCGGCAAAGCTTGCCGAGGAGGGGCGCGACCCGGGCGATACGGCTCGTGTATCAGGCGAAGAGACGAGTGCGACTGGCGGCTCCGAGGTGGAGCGTAAGGCCAGATTCGTAAAGGAGGTGGAGGCCGCGATCAAGGTCGTGGCCCACAAGCAAAAGTCCTCCTCAAAGTTCAAGGCCATTCCCGGGGCCTCCGCCTCCATCATGGCGGCTGCGGAGGCCAACTTTGTTGGGGCCGGGCCTAATGCGGACGAGGTGGAGAAGCTGCGGGAGGACGTGGCCCGCCTTACGTCTGCCATGGAGACTCTCCAGAAGGAGAACGAGCAGCTCCGCGCAGACCTGGCCAGTCTACGGGAGCCTGTCTCACACGCGGTGCCCCAGACGCAGCGCCCAAGCCAGCCCGTGCCGGTGGAGAACCAGGTTCTGAACCTGGTCCGGCAGGAGCTGGCTGCCTTCCAGCACCGGTTTTCCGTGCTGGAGGGCATCGTCCTGCGCCCCCCCCCTAGGGGCAAACAAGACGGCGGCGTGGCCGGAAACGTACGCGGCGGCCACGGCTATCGCATCCAGACCGGGGCCGTCCAGCCAGCCCTCGGGCGGGGCTGCAGTTGCCCCTCCCCCCTTGAAAAGCCGGCTCTGGCAAATCCGATACCGGCTGAACTGGCTCCGGCTAAGCCGGCGACGGGAAAGGGAGGCAAGACGAAGGCGAGAAAGGGCAAGGCGGCAGCACAGGTAGTGGCTACACCAGCCCCAGTGCCTGCGGCGAATGTGCCAGCGCCAGCGGCAAGCCAGCTGCCGCCGCCGTCACTGGCCCCCCAGCTACCTACACCTCCCGCGGCTGAAGCCGGTTGGCAGGTGGTCGGGAACAAGAAGAAGGGTAAGAAGTCAGCCAAAAAGGCCAAAGAGCAGGAGCGGCAGCGCCAGTTCAGGGCGCGCAAGATCGCGGCTAGGCTCCGCGCCCCGAAGACCGCAGCTGTAGTGATTACACTACAGCCGGACGCGGAAAAGAAGGGCGTTACCTACCGCGATCTGCTCGCGAAGGCGAAGGAGGCGGTGGATCTCGGGGAGCTCGGGATCACCGGGGGCCTCCGGCTCAAAGTCACCCAGACGGGGGCCCGTATGCTAGAGGTCCCCGGGGAATCCAGTGGCGCGACCGCGGACGCTCTGGCTGCGAAGCTCAGAGCGTCTCTGGACGCGGAAGAGGCCCGGGTGTCCAGGCCCGTCAGATGCGCAGACCTGCGCATCATGGGTCTGGACGACTCGGTATCGGAGGAGGAGTTGGTGGCCGCCGTCGCCAGGTCCGGGGGGTGCACTACCGACCAGGTCAGGTCAGGCGCCATACGCCCGGACCAACAGGGCATGCATGCCGCCACGGTGCGCTGCCCTGTTACGGCGGCCAAAACCATAGTGGAGGGCCGAAGGCTTCTGGTGGGCTGGGTCTCAGCGCAGGTTAAGCTGCTGGAGCCCAGACCTCTGAGGTGCTATCGCTGTCTCGTGGGGCACCACGTATCAGTGAGATGCGCCTCGGAGGTTGACCGCAGTGGCCTTTGCTTCCGCTGCTGTCAGCCCGGACACATATCGGCGACCTGCTGCGCCACGCCGCACTGTGATGCATGTGCGGCGACCGGCAAGCCAGCCGATCACCGGGCCGGAAGCAAGGCCTGCGTGCCACCCGCCAAGGCCAAGGCCGCGGGTAGAGTAGGGGCCAAAGCCGCCACCGTCTCTGTGGCCTCCGCCGCAGCCGCAACTGCCACCGCCACCGCTGTCACTGTCGCCGCCGCCGCCGCCGCCGCCGCGACACCGACGCCCGCAGAGGGGCTCCCCGTGGAGGAAGCTGAAATGGAATGCCTATAACGGCCCCATTAAGCTTCCTCCAGGCGAATATCAACCACTGCGCCTGCGCTCA